GTCATATTCTGACTCATTTTTAAGATTGTGAGCCTGTACCTCACCTGATATGCTTACAATTGAAACGTGCCAACTCTAGCACTGTGCAATAATCGTTGATATTAGCTGTGCACATAAATATGTGGAGTTATTTGTTTCAAATTTTCTGATTCTTATATTCATAAACTCTATTGTATTGGGATTGCAATTGCTATTTTATCTTGTCTCATTTAGTGTCATCATTTGACTCCACACATGAAATATGGTTACTTGCTAAATTTTAGAGAAAATATTTCTCGAAGCAATTAAGCAAAAATTTAAAGACTGATACCCACAAGAAAGATTTAATTAAGGGGGTGTTTGGGAGAGATTCTCAAATTCTACAGTAAATCAATTCTCATTTTCAACCAAACATTCTTCAATAAAATAATATTTTCCATCACATCAATAATTTTTTCTTCTTTTTCAACCACACATTTCCCATCATATCACTATTTAAAATCAATTCTTCCTCCAAAAATCCCCCCCAAACAAGCACTTACTAAATTAATTATTTTACAACAATGAAATTATATAAAGCAGTTTTGGTTGTGTTACTTGCAAATAATTAAATTGATCGACTAACTGAAATGGGTATTTTGTTTTGTAATCAGGTTGGAGGGTATACAAAAGTTTATGAAGGCAACTTAACATTTGCTACAGTTAGAGGGGCTGGCCATCAAGTCCCCAGTTACCAACCTGCTAGAGCTCTTTCCCTCGTTAAGCACTTCCTTGATGGGAAACAACTCCCAACTTCTTCAAAACATTAACATGTTGTCGTTTTATTTCATTCATTATTATTGTAAAAAATAAATAAAATATTGGTTATTATATTATTCAGAATAATGTAAATCAAAAACTTCCAACTGTTGACGTGACAAAAGAACCATACTTACGATTTTCTGCAACAATCATACATTCAGAGAATCATAATTAGGGTTATCTCTATCACATCAGTAGCAAGAAATTTTTATCCTACCGACTAGGGGTTGGAAATGAATTCTATATACATAAAACATGCTATCGTTTTATATCTCCGACTCAAGTCGGAGAGGCTACAGTAAACAGTGAGGTTTTTGTTTTAGCAAGCTTTTTGTTGCATACATTTGCTATTAGCATAGCACTGTGTTTCAAATCTTGCAACTAAGGGGTTGTTCGATAAGTTTTTGATAAAAGTTTCAACAAACTTTGATAAAAGTTGATGAAATGTATAATTAAAAAATTGATAAAAATTGTGAGGTCCCACAAAATGTATGGTTAAAAATAATTGTTGACTTTAACTTTTGAAGCTTTTGAAAACAAGCGCTAAATAAATAAGAAAAAAATTAGTCCATACACAATGTAATAACATAAATTCCTTCTTAATTAGGGTTTGTTTTGATGAATAAGATGATACGGGAAAGAGTACTTCGAGCAATGCCTATTGAAACATATTGTAAAAGGAAAAACTTCTACCTTAACACATGTTTAAAATTAAGCCCTGTTTGGTTTGGATTAAAATTATATTAAAATTTCGTCAATAATTATTTTAATCACATATATCATGAAACTCACAATTTCTGAACAACATATTTCATCAATTTTATCAAAATTTACTAACAATCTAATTTTAACCAAAAAGGGGATTTAGCATTTACAAATTATTATTATTATTATTATTATTATTATTTTTCCATTTATACTATAGTAAAAAAAGTATAATAAAAATCCATCTAATCACTAAACTCCTCATAACCATACAATTAATTAACTTGTCCTTACCATATCATCAATTAAATCACAATGAGTTTATATAAAATCCCTAAATTCATCCTCAAATATCTCGATTTACCAAAATTATTCTTGCTTTGTGGTATCCATTGAAAATTTATGCGATGAAGTCAAATCAATGTCCACGGGTGCTCAAAAAGGTATGTCCTCACAATTTCCCCTCAATAAATAAATAGACCGGAGTGAGCAAGAAATGAAAGTAAGCAAAATAAAAAGAAGAATAATGATATCTAAAACTAGTGGTACTAAAGTACCAGTTTAGATGGTCACATTTGATATGTTAAATTAAATGAATCAGATAACATTATATTTAAATGAATATATTATGTAATGTCATGTAGTTATCACTTAAACTGGTGATTGATATCGGTAATGTTAAATAAGACTAACAATTTCCCCTCAATAAATAAATAGACCGGAGTGAGCAAGAAATGAAAGTCAGCAAAATAAAAAAAAGAATAATGATATCTAACACTAGTGGTACTAAAGCACCAATTTAGGTGGCCACATTTGATATGTTAAATTAAATGAATCAGATAACATTATATTTAAATGAATCTATTATGTAATGTCATGAAGTTATCATTTAAACTGGTGATTGATATCGGTAATGTTAAATAAGATTATTCTAAAACGAATTGGATTCCAGTTGTACATCATGTCGATTTTGTATCTTTCATCCGTTGTGTTGTAAATAACAAATAAGCATGGTTCTAAAATGCACGCATAGCTAGTTTTTAGGCGCGAAATAGTCGTGGAGTCAAATATTTTTTTACATTAATTTTACTAATTTTTTGC